GACCTCCAGGGGTGAACTGGTCAACCCACGCGTCCTGGAGGTCAGCTCCACTCACCAAGTTCGTAGAGAACGAGGGGAGGTGGAGTCCCGACAGCAAGCCCGACGGAGCCGCAGTACACGGTAGAACCGTGGAGGAGTGTGCAAGGATTGGGCCCCCTGAGGGGTCAGCAAGGGAGACCGCAACAGGCCGACTGAGCGGCGTGAGCGTGGTGCTGTCTCTAAAGAAAGAGCGCGAAGCACCAGAGTCAAGTGTGAAAGTGTGCAAGGACTCAGTAGGTGCAATACCAGAGAGAGTAGACTTACCAGCACCTGGAGCAGCAGACAAACTAGCACCTAGAGCAGCAGCCGCACTAGCACCTAGAGCAGCAGCCGCAGTGCCCGGGTCGGGCGGGACACTCAGGTAACAGTCACCCTCAGTAATATCAGCAAGAGCATACATGGCAGCAAGGATAGCATCAAAATCTAGATCAAAGATAGGCACATTCTGCAGAAGCAGATCATGCCAGCGAGGGAGCTCAACAGCGTCAGGAAACTGGGTACGCTAAGCGTCAGTCAAGCGACCGAAGCAGCGCTGCGTGGAGTGTGGGAGCCCACACACCTCCCCACTACGAGTGCCGGTGCAAAGAACGTAAGTGCAGGGACCTGCACTCCCAGACCTCCCACGCCCAGCGTACCACTCACGAAGCTGCTGAACCGACGGGGTCTCACGGGTGCGCAGCTGCTGCTGGCACTGGCTGCCACCAAAGCCTCCACGCTGCGCGGCTGCACCTCGACCAGCACCACCGCCGCCTCCACCTCCACCAGCGCTGCCGCTGCCTCCACCACCTCCGCCACCGACGCCACGACCTCCACCGCCGCCACTGAAGCCCCCACTCTCGGTACCACCCCCACCTCCACCGCCACCCCCTCTGCCTCCTCCACCGCCTCCGCCACCGCCCCCGCCACCCCCTCCACCACCCTTGCTCCCCTTGCCCTTGCTGTTGCGGCATCTTCCAGTAGGGGCAGACGCAGCTCCGACCTCCTCAGTGCCAACGAGGTCGACAGCAGCAGCAGAAGCAACAGAGGGGAGAAGGGGGACAGGGGAACACCCCTCAAAGAAGGGGGTGCGACGGTCGCCTAGAGAAGCACCTACAGCTAAGATACTCTTCTCAGCTGCAGCAAGGCGCTCCTCTAGCAGGTCGACAGTCAGCTCCGTGGGGCAAAGTGAGAGAAAGTGGTCCCTAACTGAAGAGAGAGAGTCAGGGAGGCGGGTGACTAGGTAGTAAAGGGTGATGTACATGGGGGGGGGGGTCTTGGCACAGAACTCTGTGGGAAGGGCAGCGCGGTAGCGGGCGTCACTAGTGCGAAGGTGAGCAACTAGGTCAGCGATTGTGGCAAAGGCGGCAAGGTCAGGGAAAAGGTACGGCAGCATGAGGCGACTGAGGGCAGCAGTGGCAGGGGAGGAGTAGCGTGCAACTACAGCGTCGTACAAAGACTGAGCAGTCTTGTACTGGCCAAAGTGTGCGCGCTCAGCAGGCGGCAGGTGACTACGAACAGCAAGACGAGCAACAGCGTCACGAGTGGTGCACTGCGAGCGAACAGTACTGTCAGCAGTGGCAGTAGGAGCAGTGGAAACACCTGACGTGTGATCGAAAAGGGATACCCCATCCCTAGAATCACACTGAAGAAAGAGCTGTAGGTCATCAACCCATACGTCAAAGTCAACTGCACGTCCCTCAGAGTCAAAGGTGAGAACTGTAGGACTAGCCATAGCAGCAGTAGGAGCAGTAGCAAGAGGAGCAGCAGTAGCAGCAGCAGCGCGGCTCGGCTAGGCGGCGCGGCTCGGCCGGGCGGCGCGGCTCGGCTGGGCGGCGCGGCTCGGCTTACCAGAGACAGGTGCAGGGGCGGGCCGTGACTGCAGGGGCCGCGCCAGCAGGGGTTCGTCAGCAGGGTCCGGCAGGGGCGCGTCAGCAGGGGCCGGCAAAGGCGCGTCAGCAGGGGCCGGCAGGGGCGCGCCAGTAGGAGCGCGTCAACATGGGCCGGCAAAGGTGCGCCAGGAGGAGCCGCGCCAGCAAGGGCCGGCAGGGGATCGTCAGCAGGAGCCGGCCGGGGGCGCGCCAGCTGGGGCGCGTCAGTTGGGGTCGGAAGAGGTGTGAGGCGGGGGGGGGGGGGGGGGCCGAGAAGGGGCCGCGACGGGCCGTCAGAGGGGCCGCGAAGGGCCGTGAGGGGCCGCGACGGGCCGCGAAAGGGGCCGCGAAGGGCCGTGAGGGGCCGCGAGGGGCCGCGACGGGTCACTAAAAGGGGCCGCGAAGGGCCGTGACGGGGCCGTGACGGGGCCGCGACGGGTCGCTAAAGGGGCCGCGAAGGGCCGTGACGGGGCCGCGAAGGGCCGTTAGAGGGGCCGCGAAGGGCCGCGACGGGTCGCTAAAGGGGGGGCCGTGAAGGGCCTTAAGAGGGGCCGCGAGGGGCCTGAAAAGGGGGCCGCGAAGGGCCTTAAGAGGGGCCGCTAAGGGCCGCGAAGGGGCAGCGACAGGCCACTAAGGGCCTCGAAGGGCAGGCGCGAGGGCGCTGCTAGGACAAACGCGACACGCGCCTCGGGCAGGTAAGGAAAAAAAATATTTGTAGTGGTGGGCCCAAAAAAAAAAAAAAAAAACTTGAACCAGCTCTATACCATGTGAGAATCATGAGGGGAATGAGTGAACTAGAAAACAAGTGGGGTACAAGTATAAAACACAAAAGTGTTGTACCCTCTAAGGACTACCCCACTACAGCCTAAACAGACTATAGCATATATAAGTTTGACAATCTGCGCCAGGGAATGCGGCTTCCAGCCGCTGCTGAGGATGGCACTCACAGAGGAGGTGATGAAGGGCAGGCACATGAGGAGGGGTTGCGACGAGGTGGCTGTCGAGGAGCTCTGCTAGCTGACAAGAGCGCGTGATAGTAAAGCCTTCGCTGGCCAGCGGGGCGCGCGAGCTAGCAGGCGGGGGGCGTGCGCTTTGCGCGTGCGTTCTGCTAAAGAGGCGCGCGTTTACGCCGGCATGCGCATGTCAACGTGTGCATGGCGGGGTGACGTGCGCGTGTAGCGGGGCGCGGGGCTTGTGTGTTGCGTGCGCTGATTGTGGCCCGGACGCTAGCTGGCGTACGCAGCTTCCTAGGGAGGCGCGCACTGTTTCCTATGGGGGGGCACGCGCTGCTTCCTAGCGGGGCACGCACTGCTTCCTATGGGGGGCGCGCGCTTCTTCCTAGCGAGGGCAAACACTGCTTCCTAGCGTCTGGCACGTTGGGGGTTGGTGGTCTGCTGGCTGGCGAAAACGGAAGGGACGGGGCTAGCTGGCTGGTGAAAACGCCTAGGAGAAAGGCAGTCGAAGGAGGTAGATGGCCCTAGGATGATCCTACTGATGCCATCCCATACAACACTTAGGCAACCTTCGAAGGGTTGTACCATGTAGAGAGTACCTCAATATAGCTTAAAAGCATTTTTATCATTTGACAATATGTATGTGTGCATGCGTACTTTGTGGTCTGTTTAGGGTACAAGATGACAGTTTCATAAGCTTTGTGCCAATTATAAAAATCCCATTTCTGAATTTTATTTGGTCCCCCAATAGGGGAGGGGTGCGCCTTCCTCCGAATTAGTGCAATACTGAGGCGAAGCTCGCAGAGCCGACCAGCAAGCTGATCATTGGCACCTGCCCCCAAAAGAAATTAATTTAATATCATGTGGACCAATGGTCCACGTATCAGATATTAAACTGATAAGAACAGATACTACACTTGATCTTAGCCAAAAGGCCGAGAAAGGTATGTCTGTAACGCGCATTACTTTTATCTGTATTTTCCGGAACGGAAATTTCGCAAACACGTTACGTGGGTCAAACCGACTGAGGGCCTGGTTTCTACTGAAATCCTGCAGGCGAGCCACCATATTCAGCGGTCGGTATCACAATCACAACACACATAATGCCAAGCAGGCTGAAATGTCAAAGTCCTCTTCACTGCGCGCAGTGCACTACAAACAATTATCGCCAAGCGGCGCGATTTCAATGCGTCAGCTCCATGGTGTCGCGTCATGGCTTTCGATAGTAACTGTACCCGTTTGCGCCGCGGCGTGGATCTGCGTGTTCCGCCCAGCACCCCTTCGTAATCCGGCCAATGGTTCGCCGCCGGGGGACCCTCATTTGCCGCGCCCCTCGTCCCAGTACCGCCTCCGCCGCATCACTCGAGCCCACTTCCGCGCGCCCAGCGCCTCTCAAGCTTCCACGCGCGCCTTTCAAGCGTCCGCGCGCTGTTCAGCACAACGCCATCCGCCCCGCGCCCGACGCTGCCGACATCCGACGCGGCGACGCTGCTGGCGCTGATGACGCGCGACGCGCGACGCGCGACGCCGCTCGACTTGTATGGGATATCTGACCGCCGGGGAGGGTCGAGCTACGAGCGAGCAGCCATGGGAGGCAGGCTTCGCGAGACTTGACGAAGGCTGCGAATCTGCAGCGAAGGCCATCCTCGATTAGGACTGAGGTTCAGCGACGACGAGTGAGGTGCAGGGAATTGGCTCTCCCATCCCCTCCCCACCCTCTCATCCCCTCCTCACCCTCTCATCCCCTCTCCACCCTCTCATCCCCTCCCCACCCTCTCATCCCCACCCTCTCCGCCCCTCCCTAACGCGGCATTACAACCTACTGTGCAAGGGCGGCATTACAACCTACTGTGCAAGGGCGGCATTACAACCTACTGTGCAAGGGCGGTTTTTACTGAAGCCACATTGTTACAATGTGTGCGATTCAGTCCTGTGATTCATGCGATTCATCTCCAGCCTTCGCCTCTAGCCTTCGCCTCTCGTCCCCAATGGCATCCTGCCTTCCACCCCTCGTCGTCGCGCACTCATGCACTCCTGTAACCCCATTGCAGGAATGACTCCTCATGTCATTCCTTCTTATCCCTCATTCAACCTCCTCTCGCTCCCTCCATCTTCCTCCACCCTCCATATCCCACACTGTTTATCTGGCGCCTGCTGACACATGTCGGCTGTTGATAGGTCCACGTTTTTCGCTGGTGGAACATCTGCCTCCCTCTCCTCCCCACCCCTCATTACCCCCTCCCCCTTCCCCCCACTCTCCCCCCTCCTCCCCTTCCCGCCCTCTTCCCCCCGTGTTTCCTCCTCCCGCCGCCGTCAGAATCCTGCCGTCAGGATCCCCTGTCCCGTCTGCCCCCCGTGTTTCACATCTCGACTTGGATGGGAAAGCTGCCAGCCGGGGAGGGGCAAGTTGGGCGCGAGGAAGGCAGGCTTCAGGACACGTGACGTAGGCTGCAATGTGCAGCGAAGGCCGGATGTAAGCAGCGACGGGGTGATAATTGCAGCAACGACGCCAAGGAACTGGCTCTTTCATCCTCTCCCCACCCTCTCATCCCCTCCCCACCCTCTCATCCCCTCCCCACCCTCTCATCCCCTCCCCAACCTCTCATCCCCTCCCCAACCTCTCATCCCCTCCCCACCCTCTCATCCCCTCCCCACCCTCTCATCCCCTCCCCACCCTCTCATCCCCTCCCCAACCTCTCATCCCCTCCCCACCCTCTCATCCCCTCCCCACCCTCTCATCCCCTCCCCAACCTCTCATCCCCTCCCCACCCTCTCATCCCCTCCCCAACCTCTCATCCCCTCCCCAACCTCTCATCCCCTCCCCACCCTCTCATCCCCTCCCCAACCTCTCATCCCCTCCCCACCCTCTCATGCCCTCCCCAACCTCTCATCCCCTCCCCACCCTCTCATCCCCTCCCCACCCTCTCATCCCCTCTCCAACCTCTCATCCCCTCCCCACCCTCTCATCCCCTCCCCAACCTCTCATCCCCTCCCCACCCTCTCATCCCCTCCCCAACCTCTCATCCCCTCCCCAACCTCTCATCCCCTCCCCACCCTCTCATCCCCTCCCCAACCTCTCATCCCCTCCCCACCCTCTCATCCCCTCCCCAACCTCTCATCCCCTCCCCACCCACTCATCCCCTCCCCACCCTCTCATCCCCTCCCCACCCTCTCATCCCCTCTCCAACCTCTCATCCCCTCCCCACCCTCTCATCCCCTCCCCAACCTCTCATCCCCTCCCCACCCTCTCATCCCCTCCCCAACCTCTCATCCCCTCCCCAACCTCTCATCCCCTCCCCACCCTCTCATCCCCTCCCCAACCTCTCATCCCCTCCCCACCCTCTCATGCCCTCCCCAACCTCTCATCCCCTCCCCACCCTCTCATCCCCTCCCCACCCACTCATCCCCTCCCCACCCTCTCATCCCCTCCCCAACCTCTCATCCCCTCCCCAACCTCTCATCCCCTCCCCACCCTCTCATCCCCTCCCCAACCTCTCATCCCCTCCCCACCCTCTCATGCCCTCCCCAACCTCTCATCCCCTCCCCACCCTCTCATCCCCTCCCCACCCTCTCATCCCCTCCCCAACCTCTCATCCCCTCCCCACCCTCTCATCCCCTCCCCAACCTCTCATCCCCTCCCCACCCTCTCATCCCCTCCCCAACCTCTCATCCCCTCCCCACCCACTCATCCCCTCCCCACCCTCTCATCCCCTCCCCAACCTCTCCTCCCCTCCCCACCCTCTCATCCCCTCCCCAACCTCTCATCCCCTCCCCACCCTCTCATGCCCTCCCCAACCTCTCATCCCCTCCCCACCCTCTCATCCCCTCCCCATCCTCTCATCCCCTCCCCACCCTCTCATCCCCTCCCCAACCTCTCCTCCCCTCCCCACCCTCTCATCCCCACCCCAACCTCTCATCCCCTCCCCACCCTCTCATCCCCTCCCCACCCTCTCATCCCTTCCCCACCCTCTCATCCCCTCCCCACCCTCTCATCCCCTCCCCAACCTCTCATCCCCTCCCCACCCTCTCATGCCCTCCCCAACCTCTCATCCCCTCCCCACCCTCTCATCCCCTCCCCACCCTCTCATCCCCTCCCCAACCTCTCATCCCCTCCCCACCCTCTCATCCCCTCCCCAACCTCTCATCCACTCCCCACCCACTCATCCCCTCCCCACCCTCTCATCCCCTCCCCAACCTCTCCTCCCCTCCCCACCCTCTCATCCCCTCCCCAACCTCTCATCCCCTCCCCACCCTCTCATGCCCTCCCAACCTCTCATCCCCTCCCCACCCTCTCATCCCCTCCCCAACCTCTCATCCCCTCCCCACCCTCTCATCCCCTCCCCAACCTCTCATCCCCTCCCCAACCTCTCATCCCCTCCCCACCCTCTCATCCCCTCCCCAACCTCTCATCCCCTCCCCACCCTCTCATGCCCTCCCCAACCTCTCATCCCCTCCCCACCCTCTCATCCCCTCCCCACCCTCTCATCCCCTCACCACCCTCTCATCCCCTCCCCACCCTCTCATCCCCTCCCCACCCTCTCATCCCCTCCCCAACCTCTCATCCCCTCCCCACCCTCTCATCCCCTCCCCAACCTCTCATCCCCTCCCCACCCACTCATCCCCTCCCCACCCTCTCATCCCCTCCCCAACCTCTCCTCCCCTCCCCACCCTCTCATCCCCTCCCCAACCTCTCATCCCCTCCCCACCCTCTGATGCCCTCCCCAACCTCTCATCCCCTCCCCACCCTCTCATCCCCTCCCCAACCTCTCATCCCCTCCCCACCCACTCATCCCCTCCCCACCCTCTCATCCCCTCCCCAACCTCTCCTCCCCTCCCCACCCTCTCATCCCCTCCCCAACCTCTCATCCCTCCCCACCCTCTCATCCCCTCCCCACCCTCTCATCCCCTCCCCACCCTCTCATCCCCTCCCCACCCTCTCATCCCCTCCCCAACCTCTCATCCCCTCCCCACCCTCTCATCCGCTCCCCACCCTCTCATCCCCTCCCCACCCTCTCATCCCCTCCCCAACCTCTCATCCCCTCCCCAACCTCTCATCCCCTCCCCACCCTCTCATCCCCTCCCCATCCTCTCATCCCCTCCCCAACCTCTCATCCCCTCCCCACCCTCTCATCCCCTCCCCAACCTCTCATCCCCTCCCCACCCTCTCATGCCCTCCCCAACCTCTCATCCCCTCCCCACCCTCTCATCCCCTCACCAACCTCTCATCCCCTCCCCAACCTCTCATCCCCTCCCCACCCTCTCATCCCCTCCCCAACCTCTCATCCCCTCCCCACCCTCTCATCCCCTCCCCAACCTCTCATCCCCTCCCCACCCACTCATCCCCTCCCCACCCTCTCATCCCCTCCCCAACCTCTCCTCCCCTCCCCACCCTCTCATCCCCTCCCCAACCTCTCATCCCCTCCCCACCCTCTCATGCCCTCCCCAACCTCTCATCCCCTCCCCAACCTCTCGTCCCCTCCCCACCCTCTCATCCCCTCCCCAACCTCTCATCCCCTCCCCACCCTCTCATGCCCTCCCCAACCTCTCATCCCCTCCCCAACCTCTCATCCCCTCCCCACCCTCTCATGCCCTCCCAACCTCTCATCCCCTCCCCACCCTCTCATCCCCTCCCCAACCTCTCATCCCCTCCCCACCCTCTCATCCCCTCCCCAACCTCTCATCCCCTCCCCAACCTCTCATCCCCTCCCCACCCTCTCATCCCCTCCCCAACCTCTCATCCCCTCCCCACCCACTCATCCCCTCCCCACCCTCTCATCCCCTCCCCACCCTCTCATCCCCTCCCCACCCTCTCATGCCCTCCCCAACCTCTCATCCCCTCCCCACCCTCTCATCCCCTCCCCACCCTCTCATCCCCTCCCCACCCTCTCATCCCCTCCCCACCCTCTCATCCCCTCCCCACCCTCTCATCCCCTCCCCAACCTCTCATCCCCTCCCCACCCTCTCATCCCCTCCCCAACCTCTCATCCCCTCCCCAACCTCTCATCCCCTCCCCACCCTCTCATCCCCTCCCCACCCTCTCATCCCCTCCCCAACCTCTCATCCCCTCCCCACCCTCTCATGCCCTCCCCAACCTCTCATCCCCTCCCCACCCTCTCATCCCCTCCCCACCCTCTCATCCCCTCCCCAACCTCTCATCCCCTCCCCACCCTCTCATCCCCTCCCCAACCTCTCATCCCCTCCCCACCCTCTCATGCCCTCCCCAACCTCTCATCCCCTCCCCAACCTCTCATCCCCTCCCCACCCTTTCATCCCCTCCCCAACCTCTCATCCCCTCCCCAACCTCTCATCCCCTCCCCAACCTCTCATCCCCTCCCCACCCTCTCATCCCCTCCCCAACCTCTCATCCCCTCCCCACCCTCTCATCCCCTCCCCAACCTCTCATCCCCTCCCCACCCTCTCATCCCCTCCCCAACCTCTCATCCCCTCCCCACCCTCTCATCCCCTCCCCAACCTCTCATCCCCTCCCCACCCACTCATCCCCTCCCCACCCTCTCATCCCCTCCCCAACCTCTCCTCCCCTCCCCACCCTCTCATCCCCTCCCCAACCTCTCATCCCCTCCCCACCCTCTCATGCCCTCCCCAACCTCTCATCCCCTCCCCACCCTCTCATCCCCTCCCCACCCTCTCATCCCCTCCCCACCCTCTCATCCCCTCCCCAACCTCTCCTCCCCTCCCCACCCTCTCATCCCCTCCCCAACCTCTCATCCCCTCCCCACCCTCTCATCCCCTCCCCACCCTCTCATCCCCTCCCCACCCTCTCATCCCCTCCCCACCCTCTCATCCCCTCCCCACCTTCTCATCCCCTCCCCAACCTCTCCTTCCCTCCCCACCCTCTCATCCCCTCCCCAACCTCTCATCCCCTCCCCACCCTCTCATGCCCTCCCCAACCTCTCATCCCCTCCCCACCCTCTCATCCCCTCCCCACCCTCTCATCCCCTCCCCACCCTCTCATCCCCTCCCCAACCTCTCCTCCCCTCCCCACCCTCTCATCCCCTCCCCGACCTCTCATCCCCTCCCCACCCTCTCATCCCCTCCCCAACCTCTCATCCCCTCCCCACCCTCTCATCCCCTCCCCAACCTCTCATCCCCTCCCCACCCTCTCATCCCCTCCCCAACCTCTCATGCCCTCCCCACCCTCTCATCCCCTCCCCACCCTCTCATCCCCTCCCCACCTTCTCATCCCCTCCCCACCTGCTCGTCCCCTCCCCACCCTCTCATACTCCAGACCCTCTTCCCGCCTCCCAACGCGGGATACGGCCTACCGTGCGAAGGCAATTTTACTAAAGCCACATGCAGGTGTAGTCATGCGAATCGTGACATTTTTGCGATTTATGTTATTCGTCTGTAGCCTTCTCGCGTCCAGTCCCCTCTGGCATGACTTCGTCCCCTCTTGCATCCTTCCTTTCACTCCCCTGTCGTCCTGCACTCATGCGACTCTGTACCAATTCTTGTCACTCCTCCCACCCCCCCTCCCCCCTCCCCCTCTTCCCCCCCCTCCCCCCTCCCCCTCTCCTCCCCCCCTCCCCCCCCCTCCTCCAGCCGTCCTCCTGTCGCTCCTACCACCCCCCCTCCCCCTCCCCCTCCCCCTCACCCCCCCTTCCACCAGCCGTCCTGCACATCTGGTATAGGGCTCCTGCTGCCACTTGCCGGCTGTTGTTAGGTCCACGTTTTTTGCTGGTGGTATATCACGGGAACATCTTCTCTTCTTACCTCTCCGCTCCACCCCCCACCTCCCCCTCCCACTCCCCCCCCCCTCCTCCTCCCCTTCCCGCCCCCCGCCCCGTCTTTTCTCCACCCGCCCATCAGGATCCTGTCGCCACATGTCGGCTCTCTTGACAGTCTTATCTTCTGCTGGTGGGCCCTGACGGTACCATCTTCTCTCCTCTCCCTCTCCCCATCCCTTACCCCTCGTTTTTCCTCCCCCCGTCTTTTCTCCACCCGCCCATCAGGATCCTGTTGCCACATGTTGTCTCTCTTGACAGTCTTATCTTCTGCTGGTGGGCCCTGACGGTACCATCTTCTCTCCTCTCCCTCTCCCCATCCCTTACCCCCCGTTTTTCCTCCCCCCGTCTTTTCTCCACCCGCCCATCAGGATCCTGTCGCCACATGTCGGCTCTGTATAGGGCCGACTTCTGCTGGTGGGCAGTGACGGGGACGATCCACCTGGTGCTGGAATGGAAGGCACGTTCGTTGCGCTCCCCCACCTCAATGGCAATGCTGCGGGGGTGATGGCGGCGCTTGGTTTGACTGACGCATTCTGGTGGGTAACGGACGGTTGCAAGGGCTTTATGAGCGGAGCAGCACCTGCAGCGCTTTTCTACTAGAGTGAATGAAGCATGTGTGGCGGGTGCAAGGACTTGTGTGGGGTTAAGCTTTTGAAGAATGCTCTTCTGGCGAAGAATGCTCTTATGGCGAAGAATGCTCTTATGGCGAAGAATGCTCTTATGGCGAAGAATGCTCTTATGGCGAAGAATGCTCTAATGGCGAAGAATGCTCTTATGGCGAAGAATGCTCTTATGGCGAAGAATGCTCTTATGGCGAAGAATGCTCTTATGGCGAAGAATGCCCTTGTTTCCACCCACCCTCGTCTCTATGGCATCGTCGGATTCTTCCGTCGACCTTGCTACTGTTGATGCACTCGAGTTGCTACCCGACAACACTGCTGCTAATTGGCACTCCTACGCTCACTCGGTCGAGGTTCTCCTCTCCTCTGTTGTGATCAGCGGCTACAACCTTCGCTCGGATGTCTTCCAGGAAGGTGGTGGACTTCAGCCCGTGGCCCCCACCGCTCCCACTGGACCTGTCCCCACCCACCCTGGCGTCGAGCCCTCTCCCCCTGGTGATCCCCCCACCTTCGCACCGAATGTCAACGATCCGCAGAGCTCGGAGACCGCCATCCGCACCTACCGCACCAATCTCCAAGAGCACCTGCGCCAGCAACTGCGTTACGAGGACGAGAAGCGCATTTATGACGACGTCGCTGCCCGCTACAGCAAGTACCAGGAGGACCTTGACACCTACACCGCAGACCTTGTCGACTACACCACGAAAATCACGGCCTGGCGAGTTGCCGATCGGCGCGCGCTTGCCATTCTTCTTGCCACCGTTCCCTCCTCCCTCAAACGCGAGCTCTCACCTACCTCCTCCTCCCACCTGTGGCGACTCCTCGTCGACCTTTTCGATCGGCAAGACGTTGCCACCCTCTACGCCCTCATCAAAGAATTCGGCACTCTCTCCATGGACTCCACTTCTGGCGCCGCTGCCTTCACTCGCCGTGTCCTAGACCTTGCTCGGCGCCTTGCGGCACTCGATGTGGTGTACCCGGACACTGTCATCTTCTGCCACCTCCTCGAGTGCCTCACACCTGCCTTCGACGCTCACAAGCTTGCCTACATGCAGCTTCTCTCCAAGCACCATACCCCTGCTGAAGTCGCTCAGTGGATTATCACCACCGAAGCCGAGATCCTTCGCCACTCTACCTCCACAGTCGCAGTAGCTCAGCCGCGCAGCAGCAGGGGTGGGCGTGGGGGTGGGCGTGGTGGTGGGCGTGGGGTGGACGAGGTGGATCACTGGGTCGTGGTGGCAGTGGTAGCGGTGGTGTGGGTCGCGGTGCGACAGCTGCCTTTCCTCCCTGTCAGTACCTGCCTCGCTACGGTCCCACTCAGGGACAGCGCTGCGCCCAAACCACTCATGCCACAGAAACATGCTTCAAGGCACTCAGCGATGAGTGGTTTGCGCGTGGCAACATCGGCACCCCTCCTCGCTGGTCTGCCCTCAACCCACGCCCCACTCCCCTTGAAGTCCGTTCCTCCCCTCTCTATGAGCCTTCCTCCTCCACCCAGGCCCACAAGGCCCTTGCCCCTCCCCAGCAGCAGCAGCAGCTTGGGAGTCAGCAGCAGGGGTTACAGCAGTATGGGCAGCAGCTTCTCCTTTCTCAACTCCAGCAGCATCTCCAGCAGCAGCTCGACCTACAGCCGCAGCTGCCCCTCCTCCCTCCTCCCGTTTCCTAGCAGCAGCCCTTTCCTACCTGGACTGTCGGGAGTGCTGCCTCTGCAGCCCATCTCTCGGGTGCATCTCCAGCGCCGTCTGCAGGTGGCAGTGTGACCGCTTTCCCCTCTTCTGATTTTGTCGGTTTGCTAGGTCAACCTGAATCTGTTGCATCTCCCATGTACCCTTCTTCTGTTAATGAAACTTCGTTCCAGTACTGTGCCTCACCCTCCTCCACCCTTGACTTGGTCCTGGACAGTGGAGCCACTGACACTGTCCTTCGTGATGCTAGTACACTGCGCCCTCTCCCCACACCCACCTCCCTCCTCGGTGCTGATAGCAGTTTTTCTATCCCCTGTCACAACACTTCCACCCTTCCCTGTCCTCTCTTTCCCTCAGGTACTGTCACCGGTCTCCACATTCCCTCCCTACGCACTAACCTCCTCTCCCAAAGGTCCCTCCAACAAGCCAATATCACCACTGTCTTCCCAGGTGGTGCTAACTACTGTGCCCTTTACAATACTGCTACAGGTCGCCTTCTCTCTCGTATTCCCTTCTGTCCTCGTTCCCGTCTGTACACCCTTCGGCTTCCCCGCCCCCCACCTGCCAAGTCGCCTCTCCCTCTCTCCTCCCCCCCCCTCCCCTCCCTCCCCTCCCTCCCACTAACCCACCCCTCCCTCTCCGCCCCCCTGACTCTAACTGTTCCTGTCGCTCCCTCTCCCACCCTACCGTTCTCCTCCATCACAGGCTAGGTCACCCTAACTTCGCTACTCTGCGCTCTTCTGTCTCCTCTGGTCTCCTCCACGGTCTCCCCTCCTCCCTCCCTCCCCTCCCCAAATCCCTTGCCCCCCCATTGCACTGTCTGCGTTCAGAGCAAGCTCAAGCAGCAGCCGCACTGGAGCTCCCCCTCCGCTGCTGCACAGCCACTTTATCTTGTTCACATGGACCTCTGGGGCCCTAATCCCTCTCCCACTCGCCAGGGTCATCGCTACCTTCTCGTGCTCGTTGATGATCACAGTCGGTACTCATCTGTCTCTCTCCTTCGGACGAAGGCGGACGCCCCGGCTCCGATCATCGCCTGGCTCGAGCGGGCAAACACCCATTTTGGGCGCCCTGTTCGCCGCCTTCACTCTGATGGTGGTGGTGAGTTCCTTAACAACCAAGTCTCCTCCTATTGTCAGTCCCGTGGCATTCTTCAGACTTACAACCTCCCTCACTCCCCACAGCAGAACGGTGTGGCTGAGAGTCGTGTTCGAGAGATCACCAAAACAGCCCAGTGTCTTCTTGTCCACGCCTCCTGCCCCCCTTTTCTGTGGGGCTACGCCCTCCTTCATGCCGCCCTCCTTACTAACATTTACCCTCACCACCTTCTCCCTTCCACCACCCCCACTGAGCTGTGGACAAAGGACAAGCCTGATGTCTCATCTCTTCGTGTCTGGGGCTCAAAGGCATATGTCCTTATTCATCCCACTGACCGCTCCCGCTCCATGGGAAAGCTTGCCCCTCGCACCCTTCCCTGCATCTTCCTTGGTCATATCCCTACCTCACCTGACTACCTTTTCCTCCATCCCCCCTCAGGTCGTCTAGTCCACAGTAGGGATGTGGTCTTTGATGAGTCCACTCCCTACTACTCCTCTCCCCCATCCACTGACCCACTCCCCCCTCTCACCCGTCCCCTTGTCTGGTCTGACACCACCCCTCCCCCATTACTCCCTCCTCCCCCCATCCTCCCGCCTCCCCCCCCTCCGCCGTCCCCGTCCCACGGTGCCCCTCCCTCGTCTGGTGATATCTTTGACCCGGAACCTCTGTCCTCTCCGGTCTCCCCCACACATTCCTCTCCCAGTGCCCCTCCCCCCCCTCCTCTCCCCTCCCTCGCCACCAACCCGTCCTTCCCCTCCTCCCCGCACCGTACTTACCCGGTACCCCCATACCAGGTCACGTGACGGTATCCTTGGTGCACCGCCCCCTGTTACCCTCTCTTCCTCTACCCTCCCCCTTCTCTCCCCTCTCCTTCACCACTTCTTCCAGGTTGTTTTGCATCAACCTCCTCCTGCAGCAGCCCCCTCTGCCTCCTCTCCCTCACTAGCAGCAGCGTCCGCAAAGGCACCAGCAGCTGCACCAGCAGCAGGACCAGCAGCAGGACCAGCAGCGCCACCAGCAGCAGGACCAGCAGCGGCACCAGCAACGGCACCAGCAGCGGCACCAGCAGCGGCACCAGCAACGGCACCAGCAGCGGCACCAGCAGCGGCACCAGCATCGGCACCAGCAGCGGCACCAGCAGCAGCACCAGCAGCCATCCCCGCCTTCCACACCTCCCTCTCTGAGGACTCCCATGAGGAGTTCCTTGACCTCCACCTCTGTAACCCCTCGCTTCTACCCATCACATTCGACCTCTCCAGCACACCCGTCTTCGCCTTCTCCTCTGCTCCCTCCGTTTTCATCCCTACCACGTATGCGGAGGCAATGGCTTGCCCCGACGCCCCTCTCTGGCTCGCCGCCATCATCAAGGAGCTGGAGGCCTTTATCGCCAACTCCTCCTTCGTTGATGTGCCTCGCCCTCCCACCTCTACGAACGTGGTGAAGGGGAAGTGGGTGTTTCACGTCAAGCAGCTGCCAGGGGAGCCGCCCGTCTACAAGGCTCCTTACTGTGCCAAGGGCTTCACGCAGCGGTATGCTGTTGACTTCTTCGATACCTTCTCCCCTACCGCCAAACCTGCTACCGTTCGAGCCGTGCTCGACCTCGCCGCTCGCCTAAATATGGAGATCCACTCGATGGACGTTTCTAACGCCTTTCTGCAAGGCGTCCTCCGCGAGCTAATCTACATGGAGCGTCCAGCCGGCTTTCACCTTCCCTTCCCAGCTAACTCTGTCTGGCAGTTGCGTCGACCTGTGTATGGGCTCCGACAGGCCCCTAGGGAGTGGCATGCTAAGCTTGCCGCCACCCTTGCTGAACTTGGGTTTCGCACCTCCCGCTCCGACGCCAGCCTCTTCCTCCGCGCCTCCCCCTCCCCCTTCTACATCCTGGTGTATGTCGATGACATGATTCTGCTCACCGCCGACCTTGCTGAGCTGGAGCGTGTTAAGGCTGAGTTGGGTAGCCGTCTCAAGTGCAAGGACTTGGGAGAGCTGCAGCATTACGTGGGCATGACCATCACCCGCGATCGCTCCGCCCGCACCATCTCTCTCTCCCAGGGTCATTACTTGCAGCAGGTCTTGGAGCGGTTTGACATGGCCCAGGGCGGTGCCCAACATACTCCTCTTTCTGTCGGGCACCACCTCTCTCCACCCACCTCCCCCTCAACCTCCTCCCATCCTTATCCCGAGCTCGTCGGCTCCCTCATGTACGCCATGGTCTCCACACGCCCTGACCTTGCCTACCCCATCAGCGTCCTCGCTCGTTTTGTTGGCGCAGGCAAACATACGGAAGAGCACTGGCAGGCCGCCAAGCGTGTCCTCCGGTACCTTCGTGGCACCAAGGACTATGTCCTTACCCTTGGCGGCCCCTCTCCACCTCTCCTCAGTGGCTACAGTGACTCCTCCTGGGCTGATTCTCGGCCAGATCGTCGCTCCTCACAGGGCTATGGCTTCTCTCTTGGCAGCGGCCTTATCAGCTGGCGCTCCACCCGCTCCTCGGCTATCGCCCTCTCCTCCTACGAGGCGGAGTTGTATGCCGCTACCATGGCTGCGCAAGAGGCCCGCTGGCTCACCTTCCTTCTTGAGGAACTTGGTGGCCCCCAGCGCTGTCCCACCATCTGGTGTGACAATGCCAGTACCATTCACCTCACTAAGGATGCTGTGTTTCACGGGCGCTCCAAGCACATTGAGCTCTGTCATTTCTTCATTCGCGATCTTGTTCAGGCGGGGCACCTTCGGCTCGACAAGATTGACTCGGTGACCAACCTTGCCGACATCTCCACAAAAGCTCTTCCTCATGCGGCTCACTCTTCACTACTTCATCTCCTTGGCCTCACTCCTCCTAAGTCGCCTCCCGCCTCTTGATTCTAGCCTTCTAGCCTTATGCATGCTGGGGGGTTGTGTTGTAATTTCATATTTTATACAACATACATAGGCTAGAATTAGATGTGTAGCACATTTATAAATTGGGGGGTTGTTTAGTGTACCCTCCAACCACATTTTGTGGTTGGTTGGGATTGGTCCTTAACTCGACCAATCCCAACCAACACACATTTGTGGTTGCTTGGGCCACAAGCAAGCTCACCCATTGGTCAACATATTGGCCAATAGGGTAAGCTTCCCTCTCATCTCTCTCCTGCTCATTGTTTGTACTAAAGGGTCTCTTGGCTCATTCTTCAATTGATCAATTCTCTCTTTCCACATATGGTGTTCAAGCCACGCTATGGTGCTCGAGCCACGCTATGGTGCTCGAGCCACGCTATGGTGCTCGAGCCACGCTATGGTGCTCGAGCCGCGCTATGGTGCCCGAGCCGCGCTATGGTGCTCGAGCCACGCTATGGTGCTCGAGCCGCGCTATGGTGCTCGAGCCACGCTATGGTGCTCGAGCCACGCTATGGTGCTCGAGCCACGCTATGGTGCTCGAGCCACGCTATGGTGCTCGAGCCACACTATGGTGCTCGAGCCACACTATGGTGCTCGAGCCACGCTATGGTGCTCGAGCCACGCTATGGTGCTCGAGCCACGCTATGGTGCTCGAGCCACGCTATGGTGCTCGAGCCACACTATGGTGCTCGAGCCACACTATGGTGCTCGAGCCACGCTATGGTGCTCGAGCCACGCTATGGTGCTCGAGCCACGCTATGGTGCTCGAGCCACGCTATGGTGCTCGAGCCGCGCTATGGTGCTCGAGCCACGCTATGGTGCTCGAGCCACGCTATGGTGCTCGAGCCGCGCTATGGTGCTCGAGCCGCGCTATGGTGCTCGAGCCACGCTATGGTGCTCGAGATGCATGTGTGCTCCCAAGGTCACTGCTTTCATCCAATGGCCCGATTGCTTCTTGATCCTGTGCGCCATCTGCTGTGCGCCGTCTGCTGTGAGACGTCTGCTGTGAGTAGTTATGCTGTAATACCTGTCGACTTCACCTCTTTCCCACATCCCCCCTTCCGCCTCCCCCTTCCTCCTCCCCCTTCCCTCTTGCCCCTTTGCCCCTCTCGCCCGCCCCCGTTCTCCCATTTTTCTGTTTTCTTTCTCACCCAGCCAGCTATATAGAGACTTCTGAGTCGTCTTCAAAGTCATTCAGCATTTTTTTATCTCTCCCTCGCTTAGCAAATTGACAATGTATCCTCTTCGTTTCAAGCTCCTTCCCTTCACTCCTTCCTTTCCTCCTCTTTTCGTTTCTCCCTTTCCTCCTCCTTCCTTTCTCCTTCCCTCCTCCCTCCCTCCTCCCATCCCTCCTCTATTCCCTCCTCTCTTACCTCCCTTTCTACCATCCCATGCTCCCCTTCTTCCCACTCTCCTGCGCCTTTTCCCAGCCTCCCTACCCCAGCTACACCCCAGCTACTCCGCCGCCGCTGCTGGTGGCTGCCTGCCCTGCCCCGCCATGACGGCTGCCTATGCCGGCAGGGGTAGTGGTGGGTGTGGGAGAGGGGTGAGTGGGGCAGTGAATTGAGCAGTAAGTGGGGGTAGATCACTGCAGCCATGGCGGCTGCCAATGCAGGCAGGGGTAGAGGGGGGGGAAGAAGGGGGAGGGGGGAGGGGGGAGGGGTGGGGGGAAGATGGGGAGGGGGAAGCGCTGGGGAAGAGGGGGGTGGGGGGAGGTTGGGTTGCGGGGGGGGAGGGGTTGGGGGATGAGTGGCGCAGTGAAGAGCAGGGAATGAACCAATTACCCTTGGAGAAAAGGGGGCAGGGGATCATAAACAGGGGATCACCATTACTTTATGGTGATTTGAAGGAAAGTGGAGAGATTGCAGCGTGGTCATCAATTTTGCGAGGTTCCTCATTTCAATTAACACCATCTGGATTGACGTGCCTTTGCATCCTCTGCCGCAGCTGGGAGCAGACCACAGCAGTCATTGGAGCTGCAGGGCCGAGAAGTGAGGGGGTGTAGTGAGTCGGGTAGTGAGAGGGACACTGAAGAGAAAGGCGGTCCAAGAAGGAATGAAAACGTTTTTGGAGGGACGTCGATGAACTCAGTCGGGGGTGATGGGCCGGTGATTGGGGCAGTGAATCGGAATGAGGAACAAGCAAAGTACATCAATGAAAGAACTTATCTTATCGAGCCAGTCAACCTACTGGTAGCTCCGGGGCAGAGTGCACATGTGCAGACCTCATTACCTTACACGCCTAAATTGCATGAACACCACCTGGACTGATCTGGCCTGGACTGCTATCAGATCTGACGCCATCTGGACCGCTGGCAGGGACCATCGGGATTGCCAATGCGCCTCATACAGGGGGGGGGGGGGGGGGGGGGGGGGGGCGAGACAGACAGGCAGGTTAGGATTCTTCGATTGAGATCACAGCCGCAGGTGGCAAATGTCAGAATCACTGTGCAGGAATGATAGGATTAGCAAGAGTTAGGGTACAAGTACTAACCCAACAAGTGCTGTACCCTATAAGGAGTGCCCCACTATAGCCTACCGTAATCCCCCGGATAAAAGACCCCCCCATAATAATGTTCCCGGGTCTTTAATACGGGGGGGGGGTATATTATTCAAGACTGTTTTCCTTATACCCCCCATCTGGGGTGAAATCATTAGAAGACCCCCCCCCAACCTCAAAAGTGTTTTTTAGATGTTAATTCATGTCAATTAAGCAAGCAGTGGCACATGGTAGGCCACAGGAGTCACAAAATACAATCAAGGCAGCCTCTCAACACCCAGCTAGCTCCACTCTTCACCCACCACCTTGGAATCCGCCCCCGCCTTGCTACTCATCTTCGTCACCCGCCACCCACTCATCTACCTCAGCCCCCTCATAGCGACCAGGGGCCCACAATTCATCCCCTTCGTCGCTCCACTCGTCAACTTCGTTCGCGTTTCCATCGTCAGACTCGCTCGAGTCTGACTTAGCAGGTACTGCCTCCTCATTGGCCTCCTCTGCTTCAGCGGCCAGCACGGCCTCCTCCTCCATCTCGACGGTCACATCGGGAGGGGTGACCACGGGGGCCGGGTAGAATGGGTTGGGGACCAGTTCATCCTGCTCCTCCTCCATCACGTCTTCCAGCACCTCCACCTCGCCGGAATCCCGCATGTGCGCCAAGATCAGATGATCCTGGCTCCCGTCCTCTGCATTGGAGATGCCGCAGGTGAGGAATGCTTTCCTCACCATCTCCTCGGGAACGTCGGCCCACGCCTCGTCAATCCACTTCAGGACGAGTTCGGCCGGCGGTTTCTTCAGGTTGCCTACAGGTTGGGGCCAAGGGTAAGGGATTGGAGGGTGTAGTGTTGTGTATGGTTGGTACATCGACAACAAGAGGGAATGGTTTCATACAAGGGCTCACCTGCGGGAGTTGTGCTTCTGATCCCGTCCTCCTCGAACCAGGTGCTGTAGCGGTGTCGGACTCCCGCCTTGAAGGCACGGTTGATTGACACATCAAGCGGTTGCGCAAGCGGTGTGCAACCGCCTGGGATCACCGTGCGTGTCAGCCTGAAGAGACGCATAGTCTGGCTGACGGCCTCGGTGAGATGTCCTCGATATGAGTCCAGGACGAGGAGGACGTCCTTCCGGCTGCAGCCCTCGTCCCGCAGGGGCCGCATGAAGGGGACGAGGACTTGGGTAGTCCAGTCCTGGACGAGGTTCTCGTCCATCCATCCCCGTAACTGCGCACTGATAACGACGCATGCACACCACATGATGCACATCATTCGCATGTACATGGGTACGAGTAACATGCGTAACGGCAATAATGACTCACCTCGCGGAACTTTGACCTTCGGGATTGTCTTGCGCTTGAACACCACATACGGTGGCAACTTCAAGCCGCTCGCCGTCACCGCCAGCATAACGGTGAGGCGCTCCTTCTCGTAACCCGTGGTACGGACGTGCACGGTGCGCGCCCCCTTCATCTCCAATGTGCGTTCCTGCGGCATCTCCAGGAAGAGCGGTGTCTGATCGGCGTTAACGATCAGACTGGTTGGGTAGGAATTCAAGACTTGCATCTGCCGAACAAACTCCCAGAAGGATTCCACCTTGGCCTTCAAATCTGCAAGGAGAGAGAACATAGAAATTTTTAGTCGCGGGACAACATCGAATGCACACATCTTTGTCTTGACACGCTTTGCCAAGGACCACCGCACGCGGAAACGGAAACTCCAATGGTTAGACCCGCGCCAATCGGCCCGAGGGTGTCGGTGCTTCATGTACTGCCGCGACCACTTCTGAAGCATGCTCACAGAGACAACCAGACCCTTGGCACGGTGCGCCAAAAAATGACGGTAGACGGCCCGCTCCATGAAAGGCCACTTGGCCTTACGACCAGCGCCAACGAGGCGACGACGACACGCCGCTGAAACAAGGAGTCGCTCCTTCAATTTCCGCCATTCGCGAATCTGCTTCGGTTGCACGTTAGCTAGCCGCGCCAACCCCCGGATGCTGAGACCGGGCTGCGTGTCTAGCATATCCAGCCAGTACAGCTTCTCCCTCGCCGTGTACGCATGCCGCGCCTTCTTCGTCATACGGTGGCGAGGCGAGGCGGGGGCGCTGCATCCTGTACCTTCTTCTTCTTGCCTTGCGGACGTGACGACTGCGGAAATACGGGGACACGGACTGTGGGAAGGGGGGCCCGTGGGGTACGGTTGCTATGAGAAGTCTCACTCGATGACGGTATTGGCGTGGGCAGCACAGGACGCGGCGTAATCCTAACACGAGCAGGTTGACAGCAGGTTGTTGCACGAGGGCGACGGGATTCTGACGTGCCTGAATCGGGCGTTGACACCATGCTGACACCCTGTTTCAGCCTAATTCTCTGCCCGGCATTCTTCGCGCTATGAATTTAATATTCCGTGCTAGTCCCGCTATGCTAGACTCTGCCGAGCTGCGCTCCCCATTGCACAGAGGTGGGTCCGTTCCCTGGCGGTGTCAAATTCGCTTGTGTACGAGACGTGATAGAGATAGCGCGACTCTGTGCTGAGAGCCTCACGTGCCATGCAAGGGATGAGACGTCCGAGGCGGTCTGACACAAAGCATTGGACGTGGTACACGTTGGTCGGCCCCCAATCTGTAATGCTGGTTACCATTGAATATGGGCCAATGAGCATGACGCATTCAGATGCTTCATGGATTGTGCCCGGTTTCTCGGCTCAAGACATTCGCGGGGTGTTTCCTCGTTAAAAAAACACAAATATGCATCAGAACACCCTTGCATTTCATTATATTTTAAAAAACATAGCACTTATAATAAGACCCGGGTCTTATCGAAATTTTAGTCTATAATAAGACCCCCCCCCCCCCCCCCCTTTTTTTGTGAAATCAATAAGAGCCCCTAGGGTCTTTTATCCGGGGGAATACGGTACAAGTAAGATTGTACTTTGACACACCCCCATAGGTTAAGTGGGGGACAACAAGACGGTCACAAGACCAGTCAAGCAAGACAACAGAGCAAAGCAAAGCAAAGATCAAGGTGGATCTCAAGGGCACCACTTACTTCGAGCACAAGCAAGTGGCCACAAGGCTAGTTCACATGCGAAGTTATAATAGCAAGGCAGTACACTGATCACAACCTAGCAAGAGGAAACATGCAAGTATAAATATAGATATCAGTGTACAACAAGTGCAAGATCAAGAGACAAGCAGGTGAGGTAGAACGGGCAGAAGCCCAAGAGCAGTGCAAAAACGCTGAAGATCACCAGACCTGGGGGCCTTGGTGAAGACATCAGCAGTGTTGGCCTGAGAGGCCGTGTAAGAAAGGCGAAGCTGACCACACTGCTGCAGCTCTTGAGCAAGAAAGTAACGAAGAGCAACGTGCTTCGTTCTGTGCTCCAGTCTCGACTCCCGACACAAGGCAAGCATGGCCTTGTTGTCGACGTACAGAACTGGAGGAGAACGAGGCCGCTCCCCCAATTCGGTCAGCAGGTAGGTCAGGTCAAACTTATATATATAGCTTACATTGTGTAGGCTGTAGTGGGGTAGCCCATAAGGGGGACAGCCCAATTAGGATTAGTACTTGTACCCAACTCTTTGCTAGTTTAATCATCCTTGTTCATTATTCTGACATGGTTTCAGAGCAGGTCCTCCGCTAGGACTGTTTTCCTTGGGCCCACCACAACGCTACCCCGCTAGCCGCCCTCTGCAGCCCTCGAGCTGCCCCTACTGCCTGTCGCGACCCTTAGGCCCCTAGGCCCGTCGCCCTAGGCCCGTCGCCCCGCGGCCCGTCGCCCCTAGGCCCCGCGGCCCGTCGTCCCTAGGCCCCGTCGCCCTCGGCCCCATCGCCCTTCGGCCCTTCGCCCTAGGCCCGGTCGCCCCGCGGCCCGTCGCCCCTAGGCCCCGTCGCCCTCGGCCACGTCGCCCCTCGGCCCTTCGCCCTAGGCCCCGTCGCCCCGCGGTCCGTCGCCCCTAGGCCTCGTCGCCCTAGGCCCCGTCGCCCCACGGCCCTTCGCCCTAGGCCCCGTCGCCCGTAGCCCGTCGCCACTGGCCCCGCGACCCGACGCCCGTCGTTCCTGGCCCCGCGGC